GCGGGTAATGTAAAAACAGCTTTAATGACGGCAAAGTAATTTCATTATCAAACACACAATTAACAACTGACATCGCACGATCACGTGATTAGCATCGCATAAGCAATGGTTTCATTATACGAAATAGTGACAACGAGACGAAGGAGTTCCGAATAGCATCTGTAGAAGCAGACAAGTTTTAAGCCAGAGTCAACAGAGTGAGGGGTTTAATAAATCTAAGGGTTATTTTTAGATGCCAATGCACCAAAAAGGTATATTTACCCTCTTATGTTAACTTGTGTTAAAAAATTGGCCCATTCTGCTGGTAAAATTGAAAAAAGATCAAATAAAAAGGTTTCACTCACAAAATTTGCAGGAAACGTTCAATCTAAATGTATATATCCTGTCCAACAAGCGTAAATAGAGAAATAAGAATTCCTAAAGAATTTCAAAGCTTAAAACGATAAAATTGAAAATGTTGCAGGCTCGGTGTGAATGAAACTGTTCATGGACGGTACTGTAACGTGCAATCTACCGTACACGCCCCCCCCCCAGCACCGGCTTAAGCAGAATTCAACATTTAAACATGAAATGGTAAAATTTTAAATTTAAGAAACATCCACAGATGTGTTCATACAGCAGTTATCATGGAACCTTCAATGTGACATTTCCGTGTCATTCCATGAAAAGCGTCGTATGGTCCCCAAGTAATAGAAAGCGTGTGCCCTAAACGAGAAAACAATGGGTGCAACTAAATAAAATGGAATTTGAAAGGGGATCAGAGGTTATAAAGCCTGCATATCACAGATAAGACGTAACAAGACAAAGATAAAAAGCAGGCAACATGTCCTAAGGATAATTCAACATTATTCAAGAAGGAATATTGATACTACCTAACTAGATAATGTCAAAAAATTAAAACTAAAACTACCACAATCACAACAATAATGTCGTGCTAAACGATCTGTAAGGATCGGAAAAATAACATATCTGATTGAATGAACTGGGCGACATTTAACAGCCTCCACACGGCACAAACAACGCTGATGTGGCGATAAAATAGAGAAAATAAGAATCCCTAAAGAAAGCCCAAAACCACCAAATTGAAGCAATCAGGCCATCATGTAAGATTATTGTCCTGTATGCACTGCCATTACGTTAGGTCATCGAATGTCGCAAACTCCGCGCACTGGTTACGCTACGGCCAGTAACCACTGCCTTCACACATATCACGTGATGACGGTCTTATCACATATGTTGCCTCAATGTTTGCACCACCACGACTGATATTTTGAATTGAATTTTGGCAATTATACGAACCACCTGTAGTTAACCTGCAACAACTGGAACAAGCTCTGCACCAAGAATGCAAAAATTTACCTCAAAATCGCATTAGACGCCTTACTGATATGAGAAGAAGGGTTGAGGCTTTCATCCGGGCACGTGGCCACTAAACAAGTTATTAAAATTTTGGCTAAATAATGTCATTTTAGTTTGCGTAATCGTCTACAGATACCAAAAATATCCACCACTTAATGTTTTGTTCACGCTCCATAACACCTTACTTATAAACTCTTTTTTTTTGGTAAAAAGCAACACATTTGCTTATGCTTCAATACTTTGGTAAAGAATAAACTGAACTCAAAAATTAACTGGTTTATGATTACTAAAGTTGTATCGCTACTTATCAAATTACTATTTCTTAGCTCAGTTAAGAAGTCATGACATTGCTTTTAGTCACAACCAATTTTAAGTTGCTTGTGTATGCTTAACTTATTTCCCAGGTGTATATATGGTATGTGTTTTGTTCAAATAAGATTAGAAAGAGAGAAAATAAAATAAAAGTAAACTTGACATAATGACCGAAAGATATTTTAACTTATTAAGTTGTCCTTACATTCTTTTCTTATTATTCTTGATAAAGATATTGCTCTGAAAATAATATAAATCTAAAAAAACAACAACAACAAAAAACGAATATTTAGTTGGCGTTTTGCCAGTGATACCAACTGCGACTGCTAAGTTCGTTTAACTTTCTGTTAGAATTATACTGAAGTTTTTGTCAGGTTTGTCAATATGGGAAACAATTGTATAAAATGTTGTATAAAGATTATTAAGTTAGTGTTCTTAAAATTTTGGATATTTTCAGTTATTTGCATTTGAATAAAGCTATACATTAAAGTGTATAATAATAATAATAATAATAATAATAATAATAATAATAAAAATGATAGTAATAATAATATTGTTAGTTATCTGTAAATAATAAAAGCATGAAAAAACGTAAATTCTGGGTAATCAGCAGGTTCCGGCTACTTATTAAATGTTTTTTTAAAATACGGTTTCTGTTCAACTCATTTTGTTAATACTCTAAATAATCTTTTTATAAACTATTTGATTTAGGTTACTTTCCGGAACAGTGGACAGAAGGCTTTATAGTACAACTTCATAAAAAAGGTGACATTAATGTCCCAAGTAACTATAAGTTCTTTTGGTATATTATTTACAAAAAATTTAAATGATAGATTAAATACTTGGGTAGAAAAATATCACGTTTACATTGAACCTCAGTTCGGTTTTAGACAACAAATGGGAACCATGGATAACATTTTTGTTTTGCACGGCCTTATTACGTATATGTTGAATAACAATGAGAAACCATATGCTGCGTTTTTTTTTATTTTACTAAGGCTTTTGACTATTTAGTTAGAAGAGATATTATATGGTTAAAATTAATTAAATATGGTGCAAGAGGTAAAATGCTAGACGTTATTAAATCAATGTACGAAAGTGTAAGATCAAGAATAAAATATCAAAATGTTTTGAGTGAAGAATTTTCATGTGTGTTAGCCGCCCCACAAGGAGAGTCTTTATCACCTTTTTTGTTCGCGATTTATCTTAATGACATAGAAGAATATTTTATTATGAATAAATTTGAAGGAGTTAAGTTAGGTTTCTTAAAGTTGTTTTTACTTTTATATGCAGATTACATCGTTATTCTCTCTGAAACAGAAGAAGGCTTACATAAAGGTTTATTGTTATTGGAGAATAATTGTGATAATTGGAGATTAACTGTAAATATTAAGAAAACTAAAATAATGATTTTCAGAAAAGGCAGACTAAGACATAACATTCCATTCGTATATAAAGGAGAAAATTTAGAAATTGCCGAAAATTTACTTATTTATGAGTAGTCTTTACAACTGGTGGATCTTTTAATACTTCTTTTGAAACCTTGACTGGTCAGGTTTTGAAGGCATTATATAAATTACAACTAGATTTGATTAAATTCCCATGTATAACTGTGAAACATAAACTAGGTCTTTTTGATAAATTGATCTCACCAATTTTGAACTATGCTTCAGAGGTAAGCGGTATATATGACTGTTGTAAATTAGAAAAAGTGCATTTGTAAAACAATGTTGGGCGCCAGACTACAAACTCAGAACAATTTCATTTATAGAGAATTAGGTAGAACAAATTTGAAATGCAGAATAATTGTAAGTGTAACAAAATACTGGCTTCTTAAAATTATACAGCTTGAAGATATAAAATATGTTAAAATGTTTTATGATTTATTGTACAGAGAGTTACAGGTAAGACCTAACAAAAAAACATGGGTTAGAAGTGTTAAAAATTTATTACAGTCGCTTGGTTTTAATGATGTATGGTTATCTCACGGTGTAGGCAATGTAGATGTATTTATTAGTTTAGTAAAACAAAGAGTAAATGATGTTTTTATCCAAAATTGGTTTTCAGAAATAAATAACGCAACTGAAGCTCGTACATATGTAATATTTGCAGATTTTAAATTTCAAAAGTATCTAAACTGTATTAATATTGAAAAATTTAGAATTGCTCTGTCCCGGCTAAGAGTTTCTTCACATAGACTCGAGATTGAAACCGGCAGGTGGAATAAACCTAGTGCTATACCTTTTGATGATAGGAAATGTAAAACTTGTTTTATTTTGGAAGATGTATTTCACTTTATTTTAGAATGTTCTCTATTTAATGAATTACGAAACAAATATATAAAAAAACACTTTTGAAAAAGACCAAATATACCTTAATTTGTAACATTGATGAATTCAGAAAATGAAATAGAAATTAGAAACTTATCAATGTATATATTTAAAGCTTTCGATGTTCGAAACACTATTCTTTACAGTTAATCAAAAGTTTGTCCCAAACGCTGTATCACTGTTTCTTACATACACTTATTTTCGTTTTGCTTTGTGATTTACTTCCTTATTAATAGGATGGTATCTGTTCTAGTATTTATTTACCAGTATATGAATTGAGACATGTCGATAGTATATTCTATTTATAGTAAACGTTTTCTGAATGCTACAAATACTGTGTAACTTAATGACATAATTATGTTTTATAAAGTTGTGATATTGACCATTTGATTGTATTGTATGCTTTGTTATATGTACTGTGTATGCATGGGCATATTGCTCAAATGTACTTTGAAATAAACTCTTGAACTCTTGTGTTGTAACATAGAATATAATCATACATGATATCGTTATGTTGTACATACATATATGATTGATATATATTTACAGTACGATCGAGCTCGACGGAAAACCCATGTTGGTGTTGGTTTGACAAAATATATTGGTGTATCATCATCATCACCATACTTGGTAATGTTGGTGGTTTGACGCTTATATCTTATATAGCTGCACTTGTTATTTATTGCAAACAGAATTTATCAAATAAACTACTCAAAGGTAGGTGAATTTTTTCCACTTTTCAACTACACTATATGTAGCAGCGTTAAATGTTGCACCGAAGCTAAATGTCGCACTATACATTTTATGTCGCAAGACTAACGCAAAATGTCCGAAAGAACACTGGATTTTGCAGTCGTCGAGCGGTTAATATATATCGCCCTTTTTACGCAAAATATCGCACGAAAAATCAGGACCGTTATATGTCCATTGTTTTCGCTAAATTTTGCATGTCATGGGAAAGTAAACACTTAACATCTTTATTTTAAAAGATTCAAGTGCATGTTGAAAATGTGTCCCAAGAAAGATTTAAAGGCATCGAATACTTTTTTGAGTGTAATTTTCACACAAATATTGCATTTTGAAGTGCGCGGAAATTATCATATTTTCTAAATATATCAGGGAAACCCTTAATGTTTGTAATCAGTGTCGAAATAAATATCAGACATTGAAAATGCTATTGATTAGTATTTGGAAATGATTAAATCTTTTTGGTACATGATTCTCAATGAGCAGCAAAATTACGCTCAAAGAATAACTTAAAAGTTGCTTGACTTTTTTGTCTATCGACGAAATACATACTTGATAGTATTCTTTTTTCCTATTTCCTTGGCTAAAACATCTGTTGTGAAAAAAAGCTCGATTAATAATATCGTTAGTAAGTTTTATCCTGCTTTTGTTGATGTAGTTTCTTTTAAATAAAGTTAAACTTTGTTTGTTTTTCGTAGATAATATAATAATGTTGTGTCATTTCATGCTTTTGGTAATGAAATATATATATATATATTAAAATTACATCACCGTTAATATATATTAAAATTACATCACCGTTTCAGGAACTCCAAAAGTTGCGTAATTTGTAGAAATTATAGAATTTTTGATTTTCTAGTGATTTTAGTGAGTGTAGAATTTACAGTTATAAAAGAGGTGATTTAAACAAATATTTAGTGGGGACATGGAACAGTTTAATTTTATGTCTGGAGACGATATACAAATGATAATTCATATAGAAACATCAATGGGTTCATAATATATTTTCTTAACAGTTTTTTACTCTTGCTTTAAAGGGACTTCGCTTAGGTTTTTGACATGACGAGACCGGGAAGATCTTTTCGAGATGAATGTTCCATTTGATGACGGTCTTTGCCAATACATTGTGGGCAAAATTTCATATCATTCGCTCATTCCGTTTTTATAGAATAGTTATTCTAGTTGTGAAAATTAAATCAAAATTTAAAACGGTTCCAATACTTTTCTTTCAAATAAGGCTTAAATAACATCAGATATTGTATTCAATAGTATATTTCTTGAATACTTTTTGCATATCTTTCTGTTTCAAAGTGTCCAAGTTGACCTTAGTAAAAACGTTACCGTTAGGGTCATTATGATATTTAGCGTTTATTATACGACACTTCGCGTCAAGTTTGCGACTTTAAACGTCAGTCGGGGATGCGACATTTAACTTTGTACACTGAAAAAATCATTCATTTTTATGCATGAAATAGATTTCCATTCAATATCTTTTATTTACGAACACCTATATTTCTCATTAGATCAATGTTATTTTTTTTACATTTATCAAAATCACATTTTTCGCAACATTTATAAGATTCCTCAATATTATAATTCACCTGATTATTGAAATACAACATCATTAAATAATTGTATTTTAAAAGAAAGTTATACCGCTATCATTTATCATTTTAATATATTGAATTACGTTTAGAAAAATAGTGAGTTCTATAACTATTTAGTACAAAGCTCTATACATTTCTCTCAGTAACAGTTAAACTTTCAGTGTTAGCACAATGTAATCCCCAACATGCATCATCGTTGTATCTCTTCTTATTAATTTAACATCTGGTTTTATTTTTGCCAATCAAAAAGCTCCATATAAGGTCATCTAGCATCGTTCAACTTTCAAATCCAAAATATTGAAATCTAATCTTTATTATAATAACTGTTACAATAATATGAGGAGTTGTATTCCAACTACTTGTTCTCTTTATCAGAGTGTACAGATATCATAGCGAATCTTTACTGTACAATGAACTAATACATTTAAGACAAAATTGTAATGGTGTGAATAAAAGATGCATTCATTGTAAATAATACTAATTCAATTGGACTCGTTATTACCCACAGTATCTAAGTTAGACTCCGCGCTTCATTCAATATAGGCAACACGCTGCTGTGTAATCATCCAATAAAATTCAGTATTGTACTAAACAATGTATAATAACTTTATAACGCAAGCATCATTATAATTTGCACAAATAAGATGACTGAATTTTACATATTTTGTGTTGCAGACTTGAGCTATAAGAACTGGAGATTGTTCATACCATTGTTTGGACTTTACCTTATCATCATGTACTACAGATTAGATAAAGGTTAGTTCATAATAACACTTTTGACTTCCTTTAGATACAAACACTACAAGTCAAATAGTGTTATACATGATTACCCAGGAAATTATCTTATCAATGAAAAAAAATTCTTAAACACAAATTATGATTTTACCTTTAAAAAGGTTGTAAGTTATATACAAAAGTACGGAGCCACTAAGGTGACATATTCGACACTTTTTTCCCGGCATTTAATTCGTTTTCACGAAACAATAATTCGAAATAACGAAATATTATTTCGTTATTACAAAATATTAAGTCGTAATTACGAAATATAAATTCGTTTTTACGAAATATTAGTTCGTTTTTAAGAAATTTGAATTCGTTTTAACGAAATATTAACTCGTAATTACGAAATATTAATTCGATTTGACGAACTATTAACTAGTTTTTACGAAATACTATTTCGTAATTACGAAATATTAATTCGTAAAAACGAAATGTTATTTCGTAATTACGAAATAATTATTCGTTTGTACGAAATATTAATTCGTTTTTACAAAATGATGATTTGTTTTAAAAAATATTAATTCGTAATAACGACATATTAATTCGTTTCTACGAAATCTTATTTATGGTCATTGTAAGTTTGACAAAAAAGCCTACTAATCTCACAAAGGGGTCATTTACAAGCCTGGACCAACCTTACGATAATAAGCCGAATGGTTCTCAAGTTATTATATGTAAGTGATTAGGGTTTTTGTCATTCTCAATCCGAAATATACCTTTTTCCCCAATTGTCAAATAACGGAGACCCGTAGGTGACTTTTTCCCCAATTTTTCCCCGGAACTTAATTCCTTTTTACGAAATAATAATTCGCAATTACGAAATAATAATTCGTAATTACGAAATAATAGTTTGTAATTACGAAATATTAATTCGTTATTACGAAATATTTATTCGTTTTTACGAAATATTCTTTTGTTTTTACGAAATATTATTTCGTTATTACGAAATATAAATTCGTAATTACGAAATATAATTTCGTTTTTTCCAAATGTTATTTATAATAACGAAATATAATTTCTATATATAATATAATTTCGTAATTACTAAATATCAATTCGTGGAAACGAAATGTTATTTCGTAATTACGAAATAATAATTCTTATTATAAATACAAAAAACGAATTTAATTTTTCTAGCGTTTCAAAAAGTTTTGGCAATATTTATAAAAAAAGAGCTCGAAACTAAGTTCCTGACTAAATGTAAGTCATGTAAATGTAATATTAATAGTTTTTTTTTTCTCCGCAAGTTTTTAAACTTAACGCTTGTATGTAATCAAAGCGCAGAAGGCGCTGAATTTGCCTTGGTCTCAGAATGTCAGAAGGGTGAAGGTTGTGAGATTATAAACCAATTCGTTTTTGAATAGTGCCAATGCTTTCCAGCGTTTTAATTGTAGTAAATTGGTTATAAGGCTAATTGCAACACTGATATTCAATTCAATGTTTATTTGACTTAAAAAAATTGAAAAAAATGAGTTGCCTTAACTGGGATTTGAACTCCAGACCTCTAGGTTTCTAAGCGAGCGCGCAAACCCCGGTCACGGTGGAGTTATATATACCACCATATTATTCTAAATTAGGGTTTGAAACGACGCTAACTGTTGTTTAACACAGATGTAAATAATCATGGAGCTTACTATAAGCATGTATATCTATAAAGAATAAAACAATATTAGAAATCTTCTACCGATCGGGAACTACTTTGCTTGAAAATTAATGCGCCTGTCATTTGACCATCTTTACGCAGTGATCTCCCCTGAATGTTTCGGCGTTTGTGTACATATAAAAGGAAGTAACCTCTTCAGAAAAGCGGACTACTTTAGGCATTTTAAATTAACAACTTCAGAGTCTGAAATTTAGCTACCATTATTTGGTTGTTTGGCCTGACGACCCAAACAAATAAAAAAATAAAATAATCGCCTGTCAATAACGTTGCCGCAACAGCCGTGATAGTACACGCACTTGGAAAATTTTGTTTAAATGGGGATCCTGTGCTTAAAATCCAAACACAGACATTTTTTTCTGTTTCGTTTTATCGATATTATTGAGTTTTGAAATAAAATATTATGTTTTGTATGATCAAGATTCAAGATAAAAGGCGTATATTCTCAGCGTTATTATAAGGCTTCACTCAATGTTTCATTATTTCGGATGTTTATATACGAATTCATATTGTCCTGGGATGATAATTTGGTCTTAACGTTACTTAGGAAAGTTTATTAAATGCTAAGTCTGCATGTATGCCAAGATTGGAAGTATTAACAAGTATATATATTTAAATTCTAATAATTTTAAGGTGTATCATTGTTGTTGCTCAGTTGGTAAATCAACGTCACTGTAACTTTTAATGATTTGCACTCGTCGGTTCAAAGTTCTGCCATTTTATTATGATGGTTGATGTTTGTTGTAATTGTTTTTCCCTTTTTATTTTTCTTTTATATGATCATTTGAATTTATGTTGTTCTTCTAAATTCCTATTACTTTTTTTCTTATTTTATTTCATTTTTGTTCTCTGCTTTATAAAGAAAACAACTACATTTCAAGTTATTTATTTTTTATATTTTATATCAAACAGTTTTAAACACAGTATGGTTATGGAATATTAATACTTGGAATATATGGATCAATTGCATTAACATTGCATTACATTATATTTTATACATTTCAAATAAATTGATACAAAACTGGTCAAATAAGACATTTAAGAAAACAAGAAATAAAACACCCAAATCTAATAGTTTCTAACATGATTCGAACATGTTTATCAGAAATACAACACTTACACGGACGCTCTGCCTAAAAAATAAAAAGGCATAAAAAATATTAAGTTTTATGTTGCGATTTAATAATTACTAGGCTTTAGTCTGATTTACCTATTTTTCGCATTGTTATTAATCTTTGTTATGTAAACAAAGGCTGAAGTTATCATCCTTGGACAGTAGATCCCTGACCTGTCTAATTCTAATTATCTGATTGGTGGATATAATAAGAATATCAGTCAACAAAAGATTGCATGTCAATATTTTTTGTTCTATTGTAATTCAAATAAAAGGTCAGAGTAGAGATCTATAAATAATATTTAGATCTCATTAATTTCATTTAAATTTTATTTGCTAATTAAACAGACAGTTGTAATGCAAAAATGAGTTCTATATAGATCCGCGATCTCTGTCACTTATGTACTGGTAATTACTGAAATGTACTGAAATTAAAACACTGGTATTTTATCCTGAAAGACTTTACATTCAGTTATTTGCTTTCAAGAATGTAAATACACTGGACATACATGTATTTATTTGTATGCATTTATATATAACTGACCCATTAATGCATTTCTCCGCAGATGGTAACGCGTTAAAGGACATCATTCTACACTTGTGTTTGTCTAATTGTTTATCAAACAGACAGTTATACGACAATGAGATGAATTTCTCGAGGTCTTTAATTTTGCCGCTTATGTACTTGTATAATTAATACACTGGTATTTTATCCTTGTATATATTACATACATGCATCTGGTCCAATGTACATTCACTGTGGATGATTTCTTCATTACATATTTCGCATACTTGTATATTTCTTTTTCTCTTAAATATCTGTGAACATCACTGTAGCAGTTATAAAATTTATAGCAATCTTGCATATTTGTAAATATTTGTTAAAAACAAATTATCAATCATTCTTACATCTGCTTTCATCTATTACGTAATAGTGAGATGTTTCGTTTTGGGGGAGGCTTTGCCTCCCCAATGTTAAGACCGTTCATCAAATCTTACTGCCGCGGTAATCAGGTAAAAAAGTAGTACCTTGATATTTTAATTATTTTATAGCTGACTCATCACTTATCATCGTTCTTTTCAAGTTAAAACATGTTTTTATTCTTAACCATCATACTTGCTATTTGTAATGTTTATAAATACCAGAGAAACGTTTGGTTTAGACGTTTTCTAAATTTTAAAACCGCTTCTTACGTTTACTGCGGTGGTAAAACGGTCAGGCGTCGGTCATAAATAGTTCTGATATTTTAACCCTAATACTTTTAACAACTATATCGAGTAAATAAAAAACAAAACACATTATTGTAAAGTACTGAATAAAGGTTTAATCTATTTGGCAAAAAACTGTAAGTTATATTATTATTTTTGAAACAAATTACCAATTACTACGCAGCGACCAACTTTTCATGACGGGTCATTAACTAGGACGTCGTCGTTTTGATTATTGTAATATCTCTAATTCATCAATGTGATTTTGTTGTTATAAACCATTAATAGTGCCTAAAACGTCCTTTTTAAAAAGACCAATAATGATAAACTGTCGCTTACATCACAGACATAGATCATGTATATAGACTGACTAATTAGTACATCCTACGGAAAACGCACACAAAGCGGCTTTATAATTTAGCTGTTAGTAAATATTATTAAGAATTAACTGATGGTGATGAAAAGATAGTTTGAAAACATTACATTTTATAGCCATTTTGGCAGAAAAACAGTTCTTAACTTCAAAAACCGGTAAGGACCTTCCTACAAATTTCAGCACAAAAATACATTTACATTAGCAAAAACAAACAAGACTTATAATTTCATCTCACATAGTGTATCAATCAATGTCAACATAAAATGTCTGGCAATTGATAGATCCCTACTCTGACCTTTTGTTTAAATTACAATAAATTTAAACCTGTGCTCTTTTGTTTGGTGAAAATCTTAATGTATCCACTAATCTGATAATTAGACTAAGACAGGTCAGGGAACTATAAAACAACAACATTCATTTAGCAATAAAGCATTACAATGCTTTTAGCCATATTATGCAATTGACCTACAACCAGTTCTTTAGTTAACTATGTTCCTTTTGATCCCAATAGAAATATTTAGATATTTGGAGTAAAAAACAACATGACCAAAGTACCTAGTAGTCGTTAACCCGGTTGTGATCTCATTAAACTAATTATAGTTTCGAATAAATGAATG